GGTTAGATTCCTTACCTGAGCCCCCTAGACCCAGACAAGATGGGAGAAGAGAGTACATAAGTGGCTACAGTGGTGGGAGGCCAAGAAACATTCTAATCTCAGGAGTGTGAGTGATCAGAAACATAGCCTCTGCTCCCTCCTGCGGCCCCAGCCTCTGTCTACAGAGCAGCCCCGGGGTGGTTGTCAGGTGACAGAGATTCCAGCAATTTGGGTATGAGGGCTGTTTGCTGTCCTTCCCTAACTGTCCAGTTGGTTTGTAAGGGGAGGCCAGTAGCCAAAGTACACAGACTCATTGGCTCTTGTTAAACAGCCTGTCGTCTCTTGATGGCTAGCTCATTGGAATCTGTCGGAAGGGTTCTTCAGCCAAGAGACTTGCATTTTATTTTAGAAAGTCTTTACTCAACACGAATAATCTGTGGTGGAAACTGTCACCTTTTGCCTTGGTCTAGAATTATGTTTTGTGGTGGTAGGAATTGAGCCTAGGGATTCACACATACCAAACATTCACTTGACCACTGAGCTAGATCCCAGCCTCCAGTAAAATGCTTTCTGGAAGTATTTGGGTCCTCCTGCAGCCTATTCACCTTGCAGAAGCTTTTCCCACTCATTGCCTACAGGACAGATTAGCCAAGGTCAGTTTATATTGGCCTTGTGCAGCCTATTGCAGGAAGTGGGAGGAACAGAGCCACTGTCTGTCCACTACAAAGCCCTTGCTTTGGACCAGCGATATCAGCCTAGTTTCCTTACAGTCTCCGCTCTCAGACACATAGCTTGAAGTTGTGTCAAATTTGCTTGAGACAGCACAGGATTATGAGCTGAAACAAAATAGCTACAGTGGAACATTGGAGAAATTCCTGAAGGTCTGGGCAGGATCCATGTACAATTTTTCTTTCTTACAGGAGCAGATAAGATTCTGACGGATGCTGCTAACCTTCAGCCACCAAGAAAAACTGCTGCCCTTTCCCATAAAATGCATGCGCTGGGGTGGGGGGAGTCTCATTAGTTTGGAACCCTTGTTTGTGAGATTACTTAAGATGTGTCTTTTTGTTGTGCTAGGGAGAGCTTGTTACTTGCCGTCTCAAATGAGGCAAAGAGATCTGTAATCAGATTAAATCAAAGACCCGGAGGTTCATCCCCTGGAAGATGCATAGACTATTTGCTGGGCACCTGACTTGGCTGGAGACATAGTCACGGGAACGGGGAAGGCTTTCATCTTGGCCACTGGACAACAGGCCGTTCACTGTACACAAAGGACTGTGAGGCAAAGAACCCTTGTAGGCACGGGAATAAAAGGACTGGTTCTCTCACGGGTCTGGCAGCCCAGGGACAGAAATGATCACCAGGGTCTCAGCACTGTTGGAAGCATTCGGAACGCACTAACCCGTGTAACCCTCATCTACCCTGTCATGGGCAGTTATCACTATTCTCATTTTTAAGACTGAGACAGTGGGGGCTTTAGCAGCTTGCCTGAGTTCCCACACCCAGCAAGTGGCAGTTGAGCATTCCAAGGCAGTGTACATGGATGCACCTCAAACTTTATTTCTTTAAAATCCTGTGTGTGTGTGTGTGTGTGTGTGTGTGTTGCACATGTTGAGTGTTTTTCTTCTATTGCTTTCCACCTTTATTTTTTGAGACAGGTTTTCACACCGAACCTGAAACTCATCGATTTCGCTAGACTGGCTGGCCAATGAGCTTCAGGAATCGGGAATTCCTTAGCCTCCGTCTTCCCACCGACACTGGCATTTACAGGTGTGCTCTGCCATGCCTAACTTCCCCTCCCTCACTTTCTCTTTCTCTCTTTTTTAATTGTTTGAGAATTTCCTACATGCATATAATGTGTTTTGATCAGATCCACCCTCCTTATTTCTCCCCTCCAACTCCTTCGCTATCCTCTTAACCACTTCTCCCTCCCAACTTTACATACTCGCTGAAAAAAATACAACTGAGTCCATTTAGTGCTGCCTATACATGCATGCTGGAGCATGGGTAGCCCCTCAGGGCCCCCATCCCTGAAAGAAAATTGACTCCCTCTCTCTTAGCACCTAGAGCTGATCCCTCCCCCATCCACAGTGGGGTTTTGGCTGGCTTGATCTTATGTGTGTATGCAGAGCTACTATGAGTACACGTGTGCAGTGGGGCTGTCATGTCCTGTAAATGCTGTTTCAGTGCAGGCATCTACTCCCTCTGGCTCTTACAATCTTTCTGCCCCCTCTTCCTTGATGATACCTAAGGCTTGGGGGAACGGAGTGTGATATAGATGTCCCATTTAGAGCTGAGCACTACACAGTTTCTCATTCTCTGCATGCTGACCAGCTGTGGATCTCTGTATCAATCGCCAGTTAGAAAGAAATATCTGTCAGCTATAAGAAAAATGCCAAGAAAAGGGTACAGAGGCAGAAGATACAGCTCTAGTTTAAAAACTTTGGGGCTGGAGAGATGGCTCAGAAGTTAAGAGCACTGACTGTTTTTGCAGAAGACCCGGATTCAATTCCCAGCACCCACATGGCAGCTACAAATCATCCTTAACTCCAGTTCCAGGGGAATCCAAAGCCCTCTTCGGACCTCCGCGGCATTGTACGGCACGGGTGCACTCACATACATGCAGACGATACATTCATAAACATAAAATAAAAATAATAAATAAAATATTTAAAAAAGCTTTTAGGTTCCTCTGGGAATGGAGTTCTTTTATAGGAGCGAGAACTGAGAAAAATCCTTTTGAATTTCTGCTTTCTGAATTGCATCTCTGCATTTAACAAATGCATTTGCATTCCTTAATTACACAGGCATTTATTTACTTACATATTTCAGAGCTCCTAATGGTCCTTAGGTTAGAAGATTACAGAAACAGGAAGTGAAGGAGTCCAGTCATCAGAGGCACACTCAACTCTTGAGGAATTTCGGCCAGAGCATGTTGAGAGATGTTATTTAGAAAGTGATGACCAGGTGTTGAGAAGGCAAATGAGATTTCAGCATTTCTAAATGTGATGTGAAAACAGTGACGACTGTGATAAACACCCCAGATTTTCTACTAGGGAACCCTGAAGGACTCCCACCCCAAGAGTAAAGGCGAACAAGAAGCAGATCAGACTCTGTCAAAACAAAACACAGCTACCAAGCAGTTCAAACCATGAATAGATGAAATTGATCATTAACCTTCTCCAACTTTCTATTAGGGAATGAAAAAATTTCTAGAGATGTTGTGATCTTCTAACAATGCTTGGTATTCAGTTTGAAAAACTTAGGCACGCCAAGACAATATTAGAAGCTGACAGAAACAAATCTATGGATCATATTGGTATGAAATTTATCAGGTCTGACTGTTAAAATTAACTGTCAATTTGGTCAGGAAGTTAGATAGCAAACTGGAGAATTCATCAGAGGACTGGGATACATGGAAAAGAATTAGATAATCAGAGCTGAAAGAGGTCATAATGGAAAAAGAAACTAATAAAGGGACTTCGCAGCAGTTTAGACACACACAAAGAGAAGATTAGTTATTTAGAAGATAGATCAATGGAAGATATCCAGCATAAGGCCCCAAAGGACCAAAAGATAGAGAATTAAGGCTTGCAGTCCATGACAGCAGTAACAGATGTGTAAGGGAGATATGAATTGAAATGAAGCCATAGGCAATTGCTGCCTTACTCCTTGCCTCCTGCATTGGTGCAATCTGCATTCCACTTGTCTTTTAAATCTTTTATTTATTATTTTTCTTTTATGTGTATGAGTGTACTACCTGTGTGTATGTAAGTGCACCCATGTTGTGCAATGCCTGCAGAGGTTAGAAGGGGCATTGAATTCCGCTGGAACTGGAATTATGGACGGTTGTTAGCCGTCCGCTGGGAATGGAAACCCGGGTCCTCTGTAAGAGCAGTCAGTGCTGTTAACCGCCGAGCCATCTCTCCAACCCCTCTACCTGTCTTTTTAAAAATTCAAGTCCTTTATTTTCTTGTTTAAAGCTCTTCAGCTTGGTAGCCACTGATCACATGTGGCAATTTAGGTTAATTAAATTCAATTCAATGGTAAAACTCAGTTCCTTGGTCAGACTAGCCATATTTCAAGTGCTCAGTGCCACACTTGGCCAATAGATGCTGAATTTGGACAGTGCAGATGCACAGTATTTGTATCACCTCAGAAAGGTCTATTGAACAGTAAACTCAATCCTTGATGTTTTGTACATGTTTTGTCAGTTTCGTTGTCTAGTGTGATGTTCAAAATTTCCTACATTGTAACTCAATTGTTTCCTGACTTTTAAAGTGGATGCAGTAAAGCCAGTGATCAACCACCTACTGAAAGAAGATGAATAACTTCACAACTGCCTTGCACGGAGAGTGGTGCCCAGGGCTCTGACTCCATCCAGGCTTTGCTGTCTAGGATTACCCTGCACTACACCACATTTTAGAAAGCTAGCAAAATGGCAAAATAAATTGTGCTTTTTAAAGATATTTTCATTTATTATTATTTTATGTGTATGAGTGTTTTGCCTACATGTAGCTATGCAATGTGTTATGCAATACGCACGGATGTCAGAATAGGGCATCAGATCCCCTGGAACTGGAATTTTGGATGGTTACTAGCTGTCATTGAGTGTTGGGAATTGAATCCAGGTCCTCTGCAAGAGCAGCCAGTGCTCTTTACCACTGAACCATCTCTGCAGCCCTCTGTTTTTGCTTTTGGCCCCCATCAAGAAACTTTATTTTGAAAGTATGTGAGACAGGTGGACTTTCACTGAACTACACCCCAGCTTTGCCATTTTCTAGTTTTTAAGCACAGTCGGCTTACTCTACCTGTCCTGGGGCCCATGTGTCTCAGCTGTGTGGTGTAAGCCATCCTACTTCTTGGCAACCTGCTTGTGACAACTAAATGCAGGTTTGTCATTATGTATATTATCAGTTCAAGTAACATAGGTACCATATGGCGTCATTTAGGAATAATGTGTGTTTCAGGATCATAACGCTGCTAGGCTTCATGTTGTCCTGTGTCTTTGTGTCTTTCAGTGATCTCCCTCAAAGCTCCAGAAGATTCATCCTTTGAGAAAAAGAAATCGAGCTGGGCATTTTTTGAAGGTAAATCTGGCCTCTCAATGCCTCACTTCTAGACCAAAAGGAGGGAATAGAAAAAGAAAAAAGAATTTTAGTTTTTAGTTTCTCCAGAGCATCAAGTTGTTTTCCTGGTCGGATTGTTTACAAGCATGAAGTAGGAATCCCTCGTGGTCTCGTCTGCAGATTTGGAAAGTGGGGGTGAAAGCCCTGTCTGCATGATTTCTGTTGGTTTGCTTCTTTATTTTCCCTCTAGAAGCCCTCTCCCAGATGATACTGAGGATGGAACTCCAAGTGACATAAAAGTTAAAACCGAGCTGGGCGTGGTGGCGCACACCTTAAATCCCAGCACTAGGGAGGCAGAGGCAGGCAGATCTCTGTGAGTTCAAGGCCAGCCTGGTCTACACAGTGAGTGCCAGGACAGCTGGGGCTACAGGGAGACCCTGTCTCAAAAAGGCCAAAAAAAATAAATAAATAAATAAAAACCGGGCTGGAGAGATGGCTCAGCGGTTAAGAGCACTGACTACTCTTGAAGAGGACCCAGGTTCGATTCCCAGCACCCACATGGTGACTATGAACTGCCCTTAACTCCAGTTCCAGGGGAATCAGACACCCTCTTCTGACCTCCGTGGCATTGCACGACATGGGTGCACTCACATGCATGCAGGCGATACACTCATACACATAAAATAAAAATAATAAATAAAATATTTTTTTTTTAAAAAGTGAAAACCACATCTACCATTAATTCCAGGTTGCTTCAGCAGTTTGGGGTTTAGAAAAGCTTGAAAATTGTAAGCAAGTGGTTTTTGAACCCACATTAGAACCACTCAGGGAGTTTTAAAAGCACGGATGCTTGACCCTCTCCCTAAAGCTTCTGAGTTAGCTGGAACTTGTTAAAAACTCCCCATTTGGGGCAGAATTGATGGCTCAGTGGTTAAGACCACTGGGCGTTCTTCCAAAGGACCTAGATTCTGTCTCAGCACCCATATGAAGCATCCATTGGGAATTTGTTAAAAATGTGGGCTGTCAGGTCCCTGTCCTAGCTTGATCAAAACTCTGGGTGGTGCCCAACAGGTTGGGTTTTTAAAAAAAATATTTATAGTTTTTATTTTATTTTATGTGTATGAGTGCTTTGCTTGCATGTATGTAAGCGCACCCATGTTGTGCAATCTCTACGGAGGTTGGAAGATGGAGTTGGATCCCCTGGAACTGGGGTTATGGATGGTTGTTAGCTACAATATGGGTGCTGGGAATAGAACCCAAGTCCTCTGCAAGAGCAGCTAGTGCTCTTAACCATCTCTCCAGGCCCCAGATTGGGTTTTAACAAAGCCTCTACTGGTTCTGATGCATCTGCTCAAGTGTGAGCCTTGGAGCCCGAGTTCTCAACAGGGGGTACTTTTGCCCCTCCAGGTGACATTTGGTCAGAATAGAGAATGGGACCTTAAAGACTAAAACAAGCAGGAAGCAGTGTGTTGTACCAGTACAGTGACCCTGAGAGACTTATTTCTCTAAAGCAGGGCCCTGAACAAAGAAAATTCAGCTTTTAAAAACTTTTTTGCTTTCATGTCTCTTATAGATAAGTTTACTGTTTTAATGGTGTTTATTAAAACACTGTGAGAGGATACGAAATGGCTGGAATGCTACGGGAGGGGAGACCCTGAGGGCGTGAACAGGAGACCTATAGAAATGCACATACACACAGATGTCATTCATACCTTGTGCTATTACACGGAGACACTTTTGGCTGCCTCCATTGTTAGGTACCATTCATATCTTGTGAACAGAGCAAGTGTCCTCCTTACCTTTTCTGTTGCTGTGATAAAACATTCTGACCAAAAGCAAATAGGGAAGGAAAGGATTTATTTTATCTTACAACTCTCTGGTCACAAACCTAGAAAGCCAGGGCAAGAAATAAAGCAGACGGAGGAGGAGGAAAGCTGCTTACTGGCTTGTTTCTCTGGCTAGTGCTCAGCCTACTTTCTTTTTATCTTTTCTTTTCTTTAAAAAGTATTTATTTATTTATTTTCAATGTGTATTAGTGTATAAGTGCTGAGCAATGTCCACATTGCTAGTGTGTCAGATCCCCTGGAATTGGAGTTGTAGACAGTTGTTAGCTGCCATATGGATCCTGGGAATAGATCCTAGGTACTCTCCAAGAGTATCCAGTGCTCTTAATCGTTGAACCATCTCTCCAACCCCTCAGCCTGCTTTCTTATACAACCCAGGACCACCCACCTAGGGGTGGCACCATCCACAATGGGCTGAGCCCTCTTACATCAATTATCAATCAAGAAAATGCCCACAGACCAGTCTGATTGAGGCCATACCCCAACCGAGACTCCCTCAGATAACTCTGGGCTGTGTCAAGTTAACAGCTGAAACTAAGAGGGAGACGAAGGATGTCTCACCTCTTAAAATGCTCAGGAAAGTTCTCACATCGAATCATTCTTACTCCAAATGCCAAGAGTTGAGACACTGCAGATCTCTGCTTCAGAGTTAGGTCAGTATAGACATTGTTGCCACAAAATGACTGGGGATTGTGGCTGTGAGCAATGACATATCCTCTGAAAGTTCTCAGGCAAAGCCTTTGATGGGAAGCATTTGATGGGGGAGACTGTTTAACATCAAGAGGGCCAGGAACTTTGGAAGGATTGTGCCTCAGGAAGGGTTTGGATTGACTGATAAGGAATGAGGTGGTCAAAGGATCTAAGGTGAGCTGTATACCTTGGGGCCTCACCATTGCTCTTTGTGAGCCTAACAGAGGGTAGGTAAATGAGGGAGAGAGCTGGCCTTAGGGGAGAGCACATGGATCGAAACCCACCTCTTCCAGTAACTTGTTGGAAGGGCACCTTATCGCTTTGAAAAGTGTGAGTCTAATTGTGAACATGATCAGCAAGCCATATGGAGTCACTTTGCCAGGACCTGTTGTTTAGTTTCTGAGTTGTAAGCAGTTCCTTTCTCAGATTGCATTAAAACTATATTTTATTGATTCTTTGAGAATTTCATACAATGTGTTTTGATCATATTCATTCAGAACCACCCCCCCATCTTACTACCTCCCAACTTCATGTCTTATATTATTATTTTTTCTTTTTCAAAGGTCTGTCAAGTCTGATTTGTGTTCCCCAAGTGCTCTTGGGTATGGGTCCATCTCCTGGAACCTGGTCAACTGACCCAGTGTCGTACCTTAAAGAAAACTGACTCATCTTCCTCCAGCAACTATCAATTGCCCATACATCCTCAGCTAGGGCTGGGGCTTCTTGCCCACCTCCCCATCCATGCTGGGTTTTTGTCTGACTTGGGCTTGAGCAGGTCTTGTGCATGCTGTCACAAGTACTATGGGTTGTTATGTGCAACCGCCCTGTGGTGTCTGGAAAATACAGTTTCCTTGTGGTTATCTACCACCTCTGTCTCTTACAATCTTTCTGCCCCCTCTTTCACAACGATCCCTGAGCCTTTGGAGGAGATGTGATGTAGGTGCCCCCTTTAGGCCTTGAGTGCCCCACAGTCTCTTATTCTCTGCACTTTGACCAGTTGTGTTTTATCCAATATTGACTCTTTGTATTTCTGGAATTTTCTTCTATATTTCATAGCTTCCTTTTTCTTTATCTGTTGACTTTCTCCTAGCAAAGTAATCCCCAGCTCTTTCCCTCAGCCTCTTGTTCTGCTTCCCCTTGTGCAGAGATGAATGCAAGCCTCTTCCCCTTAGGGGGAAGCTGTAGAAAAGCTTCAATGGAGTAAAAGTGAGGCAACCTAGCTGATCTTTAGTCCAGGTTTCAGAAGCTGCCCTATGAACTGGCACTAAGATGGGGACAGATTATGGAAAGAGCCTGGGGGATTCTCTATGGTCACTGGAGAATGTGCCAGAAGGAGCCCTCTGTATTGTCAGCTATAAGAATCTCCAAGGGGAGAGTCAGGGCCCCACCTCAATTCTGATTACTGCATTCAAAAGTGACGAAAGAATTTGAGTGTTCTCAGGGTCTGAGGTGGTTTTGATGGGAGTGGTCTGAGGAACATATTTTTAAAATGTGACGGTACAACAAAGAAGACCTTGCACATTTGGAAGAAGTGTAATGTTTACACCCCACAGCAAAATTTGAAGCTCTGTGACACTTTGTATAGTAAGCAATGTTTTTAAGTCTGCAGGTAAGACTTACACTCCAACTCTAAGTAGAATCTGTGGCCCAGCATAGGCTTTCTTCTTAACAGAGACAATCAGATCCCATCAAAGAATTGGAGTTGGCATTCTCGCCATGTACCATGCATGCCCCAGAGCAGATGCTTCCAAGCCTTCTTTTCTTGTGATGGCTGTGGTGGCGGCGGCAGCAGCAGCAGCAGCAGCAGCAGCAGCAGCAAATATTTTGCTTTTTTAACCCACCACAGCTTTGGTGAGGTCAAGGGTGCAGTTGAAACTCCCTGGCGCAGGATCCCAGGCCTTTTGCCCTTTTGTTCCTGATTGGAAGAGCTTCAGTGTGGGTTGTGGACGGATATCCATCCTCCTGGGGCTTAGCTAGGCCTGGCTGTGTGCCTGCTGAACAAAACAAGCATTGATTGTCAGACCTCTTGATGAGACGTTGGAGTGAGTTAAAATCCCTCAGGGCTATCATTCGGGTATTTCGCCCTGAGCAAGATGGTATTGCAGGCTGCATTAAAAAATAGCAGAAGTACATGAATTTTATGGCCGGAACAGCTATTCCCTAAGCATTTGCCCTGGAAATAAAGAATGGAAATGACCCTGGCTTTCTTGATTCTGTGTGTGTGTGTGTGTGTGTGTGTGTGTGTGTGTGTGTGTGTGTTGGGGAGCTTGATTGTGTCGAGGAATGCTGGGGTCACCCAGCTTCCAAGCAGCAGTGAATACCCCTATTGGGTTGCCAGGCAACAGGTGCCTCTGTTCTGCCATGCTTGGTTGGTGGTTTGGGAGGCTGGGTAGGAGCTGGCACACTGACATTGTCACCCTGCGTCAGCCTCCCTGTGGTGTGCACAGCCACCACCGCCTGCCAGCCCCACCATCTGCTTTGGGGAGGCCTGGGCATTTTCTGCAGTTGTTTGAAAATGGCAGTGGTGCCTTTGGCCATCCAGTGGAAAAAGCAAAAGCTGCAAATGGAATCAAAGTGTGATGTTTTGTACTTCTGTTGAATGTGTAGGTGGAAATAGTATTTCATTGTAATTAATTAATGTTTGTGGTGCGTGGGGATAGAATGAAATTCAGTGCCTTACACATGCTGTGCTGTTACTTTACCACTGAGCCTTCATTCTGGTACTTTAGAATTGAACCCAAGGCCTCACACATGCTAGGTGAGTAGTCTACCACTGAGCTATACTGCCAGCCTCCCATGTGGTATTTAATTATTTTTAATTTATTAATTTTTATCTTATGTGTTCAAATATTTTGTGTGCATGCATGTAAGTGTGCCATGTGCGTTCAATGCCCTTGGAGGTCAGAAGAGGGTGTTGGACCTCCTGAGACAGGAGTTATGGATGGTTGTTAGGAGCCATGTGAGTGCTGGGAACTGAATCCAAATCTCTGCAAGAGCAGCCAGTGCTCTTAACTGCTGAGCCATCTCTCCAGTCTCCATGTGGTATTTTAAAAGCTAGTTTCAGATGTGGTTAAATGCAGGGGTTTTGTTAAATTTGGGCCTGAAGGTTTAGTTTTAGCCTTTGGACAATATGATTTGGCTTGAGTTTAGAAGCTTTTGAGCCACCCACCTTTTAATCAATAGAGAGGATTTTTGTTGTTGCTTTGTTTTTACATGAACTGAAGTACAGTGAGCAACATCAGGCCAGAAAGATAGCCTGAGAACAGTTCTCAGAACACAGCCCAACTTCTCCCTCATTGTCCCTGAAATTAAAGGGGGCCCTGAAGTCTTCTGATAGTGTGATCCTGGCTTAGATGCTTTGTGTTAGCCTCTATTTACAGAGGGCACTGGGGAGGGGCGGAGTCAGGATTTTGAGTTTATACCTTCTGTTTATGCAACAAAAGGAATGCTTGTAACAAAACAGAGTAACAACTTTCAAGTGTGGATTATTGCTTGACCTAGGGAAAACCTGTGTGCAGAATTTTTCTCTTTCTGTAAAGTGACACATTGTAAGTTTCTAATAGGCTCAGGAGCAGAGCAGAAAGCATCCACTGTCACCTCATTTGTGGCCTGACCAGCAGGCCTGCTGGGGAGTGTCCACTGCCCCCAGAGCCCTTGTGGCAGAGCAATGGACCATTCCAGACCTACCAGATGTTCTGTGATTCTGTAGACACAGCTGTGTGTGGAAAGACCCCTTTCTCTGCCAGGCCTAGGAGGCTGCAATATGAAACTGCAACTGGAGCTTGAGTCCTTTGCTTCCCACCAGGGTAAAGGGGACCCCACTTGCGTTTGGTATGAAGTTGGGATGCCTGGGTGAGATTCACAAACCCCAGGGCTTACCTGAAGCCTTCTTCCTCCTTGGTCCCTGCAGTCAAGAGACCACAGAAAGGGTGCAAATGAATGAACAGGCTGCTCTTCTCCTGGGCAAAGAAACTTTAGTAAGACACTTTTCTCCTTCCCTCTAAGAAGGAAATGGAAGCCAAATTACCCTGCTGATTTATCAGGGCCCACATCTGAATCCCTTTGAGACGGCTTTGTCTCCACATGCCCCAGTTCTGTCTGGGCTAGCAAAGCAACTGGGTTATTTATCACTCCTGTTCCTGGAATAGTTTGTCCAGCAATGAATAAATAATCCAGGACTGGCCATGGGGTCACCAGGTTCTGACTGTCTTGTGCCCTGGTATCCTGTCCTCAATCCTGGTCTGTGACCTCAGCTCTGTCCCTCAGTTTGTCAGAAGTGTCTGGCTCAGAGTCCCATTATTGAATGTCATGTTGTAGAAATGGAGGCACAAGTCTGTCCTGTCTGACCTCTTCACCCTATCTACAAAGCCACATACCAGGACACAAGTGCTTCTGTTCAGAGACAACGAGTCTTTAGTACCTGGAGAAAGTCTATTTTCTACCAGAACCCCTCAAATCCTGTGACTTGTCAGCCACTGTGATCAGTAGCTTCTGGGTGGAAAGACCCTGTGGGATCTTATGCATAACATTTGGTCCTATTAAGACATCCTTCTCACAATGCTTCAGTCTTCCTTCTAGAACATTCCCTCCAGTTCCTCTCTGCTTCGGTGATGGCTATAGGATTCTTTGTGGGAGACTCTTTCTTCTGCCCACCCACCTGCCCACTCCCTTTAAATGTTAGTTCAGGTATTCGCTGGGCCCTATGGCACTTTCTGCTTACAGTTATCCCTTGGTATTCATTGGGGAATTTTAACCAGGACTTCCTCCAACCTCAGGGTACCAAAATCCATGGATGCATAAGTACCTCATACATAAAATCTTACAGTGTTTGCATATAGCTTAATGCACATCTTCCTGTATAGTTAAAATCATCTCTAGGTGACTTACAATACTCAGTACAGTATCAGTACTATGTGAATAGTTTTAATACTGCATTATTTAGGAAAGCATGACAAGAAAAATGTCTTTATTTGTTCAGCACAGGTTTTTTTTAAATAGTTTTTAGCCATGCTTGATTGAATTTGTGGATATTGAAGGTGGAAATACAGAGATCCAACTGTGCTTAATTTTCGATTCAAACTTCCAAGTGTCCAAGATTAGAAACATCCTCAGTCTAGTTTAAACAAGAATGTTGAACAACTCTAAAAACATGAAAGGACCCACCAACTCCAGGGGCAGAGGCTGCACAGGCCTCCCTAACACCCTGGCCAGGTAGGAGACTTGAAAGAACCCGAATGTATGATTCCGTTGTTGTCTCCTCCTTCTCTGTCATTGACCACCTGCACCTCCAGGATCCCCTTGGAAGCCATCCACCAGCCACCTTCAGCACACTGCCTTTTTCAGTTTGAGCAGTTAACTGCTTCCCTATGGCCGAAGGGTTTTGCAAATGAATCTTCCTGTTGACACAGCAATTCTACTAGGAAATCAATCTTCAGAACATAATGTGAGAGATAAATTAAGGTTCAAGTTTATGACTGTTCATCTGAGAATTTCTTGTTATGGAGAAAACAGGTAGAACACTGAGTGGCCAATAGGAAAATATCTGGACAATTTTTTAGGGAACTGGAGAGATGGCTGAGCAGTTAAGAACCCTTGCTGCCTTGCAGAGGACCAGAGTTTGGTTCCTGGCACTCATATTGGGCAATCTCACAACTGCCTGTAACTCCAGATCCAGGGAATCCAACGCCTTCTTCTGTCCTCCACAGGCACCTACATGCATGTGCACTCATAAGAAAATAAAGTAAGTCTCAAAACAAAATATTTGGGCATCTCCATTTCCTGAAACTTTTCCAAAGTAGCTGTACCATTTTATATCACTATCAGCCATACCTGAGTGACCCAGATTAGCTATGTCCTTACCAGAGTTCTGAACTGTGTGCAACTGCCCACTGTGGCTTCCTTTCATCTCCCATGGTGAAGGCAGCTGATCATATTTATGTGTTTATTTACCTACCACCTGTGTATTTTTGGTGACATGTCTCTGTGTGTTTTGCCCACTCTCTGAGGGGAAGAGTTAGCTAGCATTTCACAGTTGATTATTAAGAGTTCTTTATATTCTACATACTAGAATACACTTTTGAAAATCTGGTTTGTAAATAATTTCTCCTAGCCCATAGCTTGACTTTTCACCCTTTTTATAAAACTGTTCACAGAACAGAAGTTTTCAATTATGTTGAAATTAAATTTATTTTCCTTTATTTTGTAGTACTGGTGCTTGGATATGCATACTGGGTGGGTAGGCTGCCTCTGAACTGTATCCCCAGCCTCAAGTTTTATTCCTAGGATGTCTCTAATCTCAAGTCTAAGAACTCTGCCTCCTGGTTTTACATCCCAAAGATTTTTCTCCAGGGTCATTTTTTTTTCCTCTGACAATCTTTTAGTTTACATTTTAAATTTGACTTTGTAATTGTTTTGTGTTAACGTTTATGATAATGCACCTTTCAGATCTCTACATGTATGCCGTCCTTGTGTGCTGTGTGGGGATCCTCAGTGTTCTGCTCTTCACCCTTGTCATTGCCTGGCAGTCTGTGTTTCACAAGAGGAAATCCAGAGGTAAGAAAACAGATAAGGTCATGTCTAGAATGGGAGGCTACCCACCCACACACAGGTGGAAGATGCCAGGCAAAGTACCACCTTGTGGGAAAGCATTCTGGGTCAGCAGTTATTTACCTGGATCCAGCAAGCAAAATAAGACATGTTTCTTGTAGATACTCTAGAAATAAACTGACCACTGGTGCATCGTATAAATTCCCCCCTTTCCTCACATACTATCCATTTGGGGATTTTGGGTTCCCTAACTACTGTCCCCTTATTCATCCTGAGGAGGCTGAGGCTGGAGTAGCCTGGGATTGCATTTAGGCTAAGACTCTTAAGAATGAGCTTTTCGGCCAAGTGTCTGAACCAAGGGTCTTACAAATGTCCTCCTGGCAGACAGATGGGACTTGGAAAGTCTCCCCCTCCTTTCACTTCCTGTCCAGCCTGTTTCCCCTGCCTCCTCTCTTGCTGTGTCTTTGATTCCCTGGAGTTTGTCTCCCGTCCTTTTTCACCTCTGCTTTTACTCTCAGGCACTGCAGTTCCTGACTCTTCATCTCCCTAGGTAGGCTGCCTGTTTTAGCTCCAGACCCTGCCTCTCACTAAGCTGTTTCTCACTCGGCAGCTCTGAGAATCTATCTAGTCATTTGCCTCTGGTTTGCCCCCAAAGAACCTTCTTTCAGGGCATCATCTGCCTCATCATCCTTCCTCTCAGCTAGCTTTTCTCTTGTTAAACCTTTCACTGATGACCTGAATACCTCTCCTGCATCCCTCCCTTCCTCAGAATTTCCAAAAACATGGGGGGGGGGAGTATGTTTGCTCTGAGGTGACCAGGGCAAGAGATGGGCTTTGCCATCAGACCCTGGTTCCACTGGCACCTCCTCACTTAGCAGCCAAGGACTGAGCCTCTGTACCTATCCTCCCTCATGGGAGACAAGAGTGGCAGGAGTCTAAGAACAACGTTCTGAGGGTTAAGTTCCTGTAGCACATTTATGGTGACGTGGGTAAATTACGCATCATTATCACTATTAGCCCAAGATCTGGGAAGAGTTAAATTCTATCTCATGCTCACAGAGACCTTTAAACTGGGAAAGTGGATGGCATTTGCTAAGGGGACTTTCCCCTAGAGGTGTGGGCAAGACTGGGGATACCAGGAAGGGAGCGCAGGCTTCCAGACATGGGCACCCATGGGAAGTTGTTGCTACTCCTAGACCTCCAGGGGCAGGGGAAGGGAGGTTCTGGACCTTGGAAAAGCTGCAGTTGAGGGAGGCACTTACGGAAGAGCAGTTCTGTCAGTGTCCAGCAGGGGCAGTAAGAGGGCGCAAGGATCCTGCCGGTACAGCCCTGCTTCTCCCCGACTTGGTGAGGCTAAACCAAAGCCAGCAACCAGGGGAGGCGAAGATGCCGTCGGCAGTTTCCAGGGCCTGGACAGTGTGGCTGGGGAGCAGAGGGTGACAGACAACGGCACAGGCAGTCGGGCAACGGAGCCAGGGTTACAGTCTGGATGACTCCTCTAAAGCGAGACCTGGAGCCCAAGTACTTTCTACCAGCCCTGTGTTCCTCTGTGCTGCCCTTTAGTACCGTCCTCTATGTCATCTGCCACCCCATCCGGGCACCCCAGTTCATTTCTGTTGTTGGTAATCCTTCACTGCTTCCCTGAGCTATTGGTGCATGCTACCCATGGGTGTTGGCCTTTGTCTCTCTTCCAGAGAACTCTCCATGAGGCAGGGACAGTGCATGTGACCCATTCTGGAATTTGGCTCCTGACAGATGCTCCACAAGTGGCAAACAAATAGCTTTGCTTCCCAGCTACCCCACTCCCAGCTGTTGGAGCTTAAAAGGCATGTAGCAGCTTCCAAGCTGGGTGTGTGCTAAGGGCAACTGTACCAGGGCTTGGGCAGACTTCAGCTGCAGACCCTGTGGACTGGAGGCAGGGCCTAGAAAGCAAAACGAAGCCAAGAAGAGTACCTGGCATCTTCTTCCTGGCCTGGCCGAGAGACCTTGGAGAATGGAGATTGCAAATGCCTCATCCCCCTGGGGTGGGCTTCAGGCGGCCACTGGTGCTAAGTATCTGAAAGCCCTAGTCAGCTGTCAAGAGCACTGAGCACCTGTTGTAGACGGGCACATGGCTCCACTCCTCCACATTCTTGTGCATCGCTCCCATGTGACAGAGAGCATGATAATGTCCCCAAACAGGGGAATCACAAAGTGAGGCTCAGGCCCCAGCTGTACCCCAGACCTCCCATGTTTGCATTCTAGAAGATTTCAGACATCTGGGAGTGACCTTGGTAAAGGCATTTTCCTCCCACCAATCATGGAGGCCCTGGCAAGGCTCTTCTCAAACAGATTCACCTGGTTTCTGTGACTCCCAGGCAACTTAGCTGTGGTCTGGTGTGACTTCTGTTGGAAGGTACAGGCTGGCATCCCATAACACAGACGGCAAATTCTGCTTGTTGTGGGCCTAGGAGCCAGGTTTCCCCAACTGCACTGTAGAACCAAAGACAGAGAGCCATGCATGATGGGCCTTGGTGTTTCTTTTAAATCCCTGTGGGGGCCCTGAAACAGCAGCCCCCAAACCTTCCAGAATGTACCATTTACCCACTCAAAGGTAGGCAGTGATATAGAATGCCTGGGCAGCCTGAGAACCTGCCTTTCTAGTTGGCTCTGCTACCGGTGTGAGGCGACACTTAGAGTAGTGAAGCCTTCCATTCAGCTATTCTTACTTCTAGCCCACCTGGCACAGCTTTTACAACAGATATTCAAAAATAATCCCATTAATATTTTGGAATGACATTCATAGGTAAGATAAGGCATGCTGCGTGTTTCTCCCCCAAATCAATTTATGCCACAATTAAAGGAGAGTTATTATGACACAATGAAACAAATTTCAGTATTGTACCTCTTCTTTTGAAGAGTCTTCTTTCAGAGAGGACCATAATCCTTTGTATGTGACTTTTCAAGCTGCATAGGATATTTATGAAGACCTTATGTTATGGTTTGGGCATAGTGTGTCCCTTTAAAAGGTTCGTATGTTTGAGGCCTACATCCCAATCTGCTGGCACTATTCTGGGAGGTTCTGGGAACATTAGGAAGTGGCACTGGCTGATAGAAGTAGGTCACTAGGGGTTACTTCTTGAAACTTTCTTGTCCCTGTTGCTGTCTTGGTTTGCTCCTGCTTCCTGTCTGCCAAGAACTGTCCGCCTCTGCCACTCACTGCCTCTGCCAGGGTGTTCTGCCTGGCACATGAGGCCAAGCAGTGATGGTCTGAACCCCTTGAGACTGACCAAAAGAACTCCTTCCTCTTTTTCAATTGTTCTCTTAGATATTTTGGTCATGGCTACATGAAGACAACGAACACACTTGACCTGCATGTGACAGAGCAAGTATGGTTAGACGCAGATAGGCTTAATATCCAGGGGTAGGACAGATCATAAAATCCCAGCTGCTGGTAAGGCTTCAAGTAAAATACAAAACAAAACACTCAGGTTTGGTTCACGCCCTTAAAACATTCACTGGATACTACAATGGAGCAAAAGCATACCTTATATTCTTTATATTTACATATAAATGAGCTGGGGATCCTAGGGTTTTATAAAGTTTTTTTTCCCTCAATATGATTGCCAGCAGAGTCAACTTTGAATGCTGACAACATTCGAATTCAACTGGGACAAATCTTATTTGTGGACTGAGTTGTATATTACCATGTATCTAGCATCTCTGTCCTCTGCCTACATATTCCAGACATTGTCCTCATCAGTATCAGAATCAGAAGTATCCCTTGAGAAATCCAAATTGTCCCTGGGTGAGGGACCATTGTCCTTAAAAACCACAGCCACTGGGTAGAACATTTCCAGATCTGGTGCTTTGTGCACTGAACTGGAGGAAAGCACGTCTCCAGAAACCTAGGCACAGGGCCAGCAGAGAGACTCTATCTTTGAGTGGGTCTGCGTCTGTCCCAGTGCTCTCTTAGGATGTTAACCCTTTAAATCCTCATGTCCTAGTTGAGGATACAGGGCATAGAGAGTGATGGTGACTTTCCAGGTTTTGCTGTTGTTTCTCTTACTGCTAGACCGAAAGTCAAGGAGGCCTCAGCTTGGGGAAGAGGAGGAGGTTCAGCCCAGTTACCACCGGTGGCTAGGGAATAATTGTAACTGCTGTGGGCCCTGGGATCTGGGTTCTGGGGTGTTGGCTTATTTTAATGGCAAAAAGAGCTAGTTTCTGAACAGTAAGCATTGCTGTATCCAAGCAGGTGTGGGAGGAGGTAGAGGTGGGGTCATAGACATCCCAAAGCAGTAGGTTGTGAGAGATGTTAGAGTAAGAGCAAGGAGAGCACATCCCCTGAGGTCCAGGAATTGGCCCTGTTGTGGGCTGCTGTCAATGGCTGTGGCTCCCATTAAGAACCATCCAGGATTTGTGGGGCAGTGATCCTAAGAGACTGAAAATGAGGGACACTCTCACCTCTCACCACCACATATAGCATAGCCTCACCTTCAGTGCATTGAATTATAACAAGCTTGCATCATTGTAATTAAAGCTAGAACTATATATAAAGGACTAAGAACCTATGCTTGCTTTGAGAAAGATTGGGGTCTTCTTACTAGGGGGTCCCACTGTGAGCCTGATGGTTTCTATATTTTCTCCTCAGAGTGTGGTATTTGGGATTTCACCTTCATGAGTGGGGAAGCCAGTCCCTCCCACATCAGTCCCTCCCACATGAGTAGGAGCCACAGAGCATTGTACTTCTTGGTTCTTGCAGTAAATCTGTCTGGACAGAGGACATCAGAGTGGCTGACCCACTCCTGAGGACCCCGTGATAACCTTGGCTCTCCTGAAGCCAGGGTGGCAGGCTAGCCCTCCTGGCTGCTGTTCAGCCTCAGAAGCAGCTGCTTTGCTTTCCAGGGTGCCCAGCTGCTCCATGAGCAGAGCTAATTGCACCTATGTGTTGCCGGTCTAGCACAAACCCCACTCTCTACTTGCGATCCCCAGCGCAAATCTTTATCCTCTTAGTGCCTGCAGTGCCC